GTCCTCACACACCTTCAAATCAAGGCCCTTCCCCATCCTTGTTCCCTTCTTTGGACACTCTCTAATGACTCTGTCCCTTCCTTACATTGTGTGATGAGGTTCAAGACTGGATCAGAACAAGGGGTTTTGTCCATATATATTCTAAAAATATTCCTTTGAGTCTTTCCAAACATGAGCACTTGGATCCTGGTCACATTTTAGGTTTATTCTGTGCTTACTGTCACCTGAAAGTCTCCCATCATCCCCAAGTGCATCCATGAGAAAAAGGTGACTGGAACATCCCTTGTCAGGGCAATCCAAGACCAAAGACCAAACCAAGACTCAGAGCAGATGGGCAGAACTGTGGATGTGGCACTTGAGGACATGGTTAACTGGTGAACATAATGGTGGTGCTGGGTTGATGATCTTCGAGGTCTTTTCCAGCCATAATGATCCTGTGATTATCTCAGGGAACCTTCAGGGCCTTTTCAGACAAATTAATCTCCACAATACCCCAGTACCTCATAATGTTCTGACGTTCATACACAGGGAGGCCAAGACAGAGACATGAACTGGCTTTGCTAAATCACAGCATGATCTTCACTGATGAGCTCAAAAAAAATTGAAATTAAATAAAATAAGTCAAATGCTAAAAATCCCAACTCTGTCCACATTTAACTGCTGCACATTCCTCTCACCTCTTTTGACATGTTCATTTGAAAAGGTTCTTAATAAATCTGATTTTGCTCAGGCACAGAAAACCTAAAGACAGTTTGGAAAAGTGACTCATGTCCCATCACACTCATGGCAACTGTCACAGTGGGGGCTGAAGTGTTGGCAGGGAGCACATCTGGAATCTCTGCTCCTTCCCAGGTGACCTGGATGAATCTGAGAGATTCACACAAGACCAACATTTCCTATTAAAGAAATTCAGAGAGAACTTGGTTCAGATTAGAGGGGAAGTTTCGATTAGATATAGGGAAGGAATTGTTGGCTGTGAGGGTGGGGAGGCCCTGGCACAGGCTGCCCAGAGAAGCTGTGGCTTCCCCATCCCTGGAAGTGTCCAAGGCCAGGTTGGACAGGGCTTGGAGCAACCTGGGCTAGTGGAAGGTGGAATGGGATGATCTCCAAAGTCCCTTCCAACTCAAACCATTCCATGCTTCTGTGATTCCAACTTCATAAAGAGCTTAAATGGAATACACAGATAAACTGAATCACCCCTGCAGGCATCTGAGGGGGTTAAAAGCCAAGGTGAGAGAGAGGATTCCTGCAGCATGTGAGGGTGGCCTGTGAGGAAGGTGGATTTGGAAGCACTGGAAGGGCAGGTG